CCTTAAATTGTATCCCCCTTCCCTTTCATTAAATAGTTTTTGAATTCCACCAGGTAATAAATTGTTCCTGGCTTTATGCATAAACACAGCAGTCTTATATCCCACTAAATCAAAAAATTTTAACAATTTAGACTGTATGAAAGCTACATTTATAATGAATAAGAGTTTTCCAGAATAACTAGAACTTTTGTATGGCTTTGTAGTCATATGCTATCAACATCTAATCAGCTCATCCTTGAGTCCAAATGGACATGTGCCAGATTTGAAGAACTTCCCTTAAGGGGATTCGTGATGTCAGAAAGAAATCAGAAATGACTTTTGCCATTGTACCAGTTTGGAGCGCAACTCCTATAAGGTGCTTCTAAACACAAAGCAGAACACAAACAAGTTTCTGCACATACGTGTGCTGTCATCATGCAGAAACAGTATCACATTTACAAGAATGGGACTGATGGATGGACAGACAACCCAAACATATAATGCCTTGCTGTGGTTTTCACCAGCACAGAGGTATAAAAATACTCTCTTAACTGTAAATGAGGCAGAAGCTAATTAAAATTGTTACCTCTTACCTTTACCTCAGACTTTCTCTCATTTAGTGTGAAAATGATAAATTCATAAAAATTCCAGTTTCATGTTATTCTCAGAAAGGCAAATAATCCATCATCACTGGGAAATAAACAAATTATATAACTTTTTGAAATAATACACACTATTGTTGAATGATTAGTATTCACCAAATCATGACTTAACTATTGATTGACCTAATTTGCCATTTATTAATAATTTTCTAGTAGCCTAAGTTGACTGATTTTAGAAAGTTGTTGATTTTTTATTTATTTCTGTGGTCTTATTTTTGGTTTTCTAAGCATTTGATGTTGGCCTTTTGACCAATGGGGGTGGGGGACACACCTGGTCTCACTGCTGCAGTGTTTATTGTTCTGTACATATCTCCTGTGATGATGAACATGCTATTGTGTTTATTGGACTCAGTCCTCCCTTCATTATTACATAAATAAAGATATTTCACAACTGAAGTGTTTTATTGTCAAGTTCTCCCCTGGCTTCCTACTGGATACTCTTATTTTGAAAGGTACTTCATGGTTTTCACTGCCCTACTCTCTGAGGCTTTACTACTGCCAATCAGTGACTGAGTCTAAACACATGGTTAATTCCTCCTGTTACTTGTTATCACCACCCTACACAGACGGCTGTATATCTCCTCTCCAGTTGCTTGGTTGTTGTCAGACCTATGCCCTGCTTTTAAGTCAGCACTGGTCACTGGATCTCTACTCTGCCTTGCCTTGTTTGTGAGCCTGTTACCAACCTGATTTCTGCCTTTGACTCTGCCCACATCATTAGTCCTTGGATTTTGAAAGCCTGCGTATCCTGTTCTAATCCTTGCCAGCATTTTTATGTTCTGTTGCAATGATCCCCTTCTGTTGCTTTTTTTTTTAATCTTAGAGATATTTTTTGCTAATGTTCCCACTGAAGCTTTTTTTATGTCTGGTTTTTCCCTCCAGATACAGGAGTGACTTTTTGTTTCCCTGAGTACACAGCCTCCCTGAATGTTCCACTCAGACTATTTTTCCTCCCTCGGCTCTTCTAGTGTTTCTCACCTACTTATGTTCCCCCCATGTCACTGGGCCCCCCTCTGAGGTCGCTGTCTCATGGTCCACCATCTTCTGACATCGACCACACCTTACCTGCCAGTCTCCTGTGTCCTACTTCTCCTTAGTGTCCTACAGCCATATGGCTCTGGGTGTGCCAGATCTTGTCTGCTCTCTCAAGCTAAAGCAGGGCTGTGCCTGGTCAGTACCTGGATGGGAGGCTACCTGGGAACACAGTGTTGTAGGCTGGGGCTCCCACTGCTAGTGAGTCAAGATCTCTGCTCAGTTTCATGTGTATCTGCTGCCGTATACTATTAAAATTGTTAATGTTCTGTCTCTGGTGTCAGCATTTGGGTCCTCAAAGTTTTGCTCTGGGAGTGTTTTGTTCAACTTTTTCTAACGATTCACTTACTAAACTGTCTGTATAAATCAGCCAGTTTGACTTGGCACTGACAGATTACAGACATTACGCAGTCTGGCAGCTGCAGATTTGGGCCTGGCCGCACACAATCATTGGAGCAGCACTTCGGCTTAACCAATATATGGCTACAAGTCTGTGCTGATTGCTGGAAATCAAACTGTTCATCAATTTTCCGCTCAGTGGTACACCACAGTGCAGTGTTAAAATAGAAGAAGCTGTTGATTTCAAGCATGTACAAATCTAGATTACTGTAATATTGAAATACTGACAGTTACTTCTTGCAGGGAAAGTAATGAAATGTTTTTGTAGACGGTTTCAGAGGTCAGGAGTGATAATATAAATTCTGCTCAGAAACAGGACTAGTTACAGCCATGCTAGAATCAAGATGGTGCAGCAGATGGCTTTTGCTGGTTTTGTATATTTACTGCTTTTTCTGCTACCCATCTTGGATTACTATCACCAGAACTCCTAAACATCAGACAACTCCCTCTAAACATCTTTCCTCTCATTATCATGAATATTTTGAATTCGAACAATGCTCCAACTGTCCATCTGTAGCGAATTGTTAGCCAAAAGAATGGATGGACTGCTTCATGTTAACTGGACTAATTCTGACTTTTCGTGTTCTGCTTCACTGAGACCTGGCTCAGTGAGTCCATCCTGGACAGCGCAGTTCAGCTGCCAGGTTTCATGCTACATGTTCACAATGTCAATGCTAAGACATTTGCTATGGTTACTGTTTTAGTTTAGCATGCTAATTAGGCTGTAATTTAAAGTCCCCCAGTTTAATCTTTTAAATCAGTGCACAAACATTTAAATATTTTATAACACACTAATGTTGCTGTAGGTAGATGTGTTGATTAATGTATTTAACAATTATCTCATGCTGTGCACACCCATAAGTGGAGTCTGCTGTATAATGAGAAAATGATTATAATCAGCATACTAACATGCTGCTGTTTAATGGGGTATGTTTACCATGTTTGTTAGTTTAACGTGTTAATGTTTACATTAGTACTAAACACAAAGCTATATGGTCCTAAATTAAAGTAAAAAACAAATTAATTTTTGACAGTTAAAATAAGAAGGCATGGGATTACCAAAGATGGTACAAACCAACCTAAAGGAAACATGGATGTATGAACAAAACTTCATGGCAATTCACTCTTGTTCGCTAAAAACATGTTTGTCAAGCAGTAGCACTAGAGGAACAGTCAGTGGATCCCCAAAATCAGTATCCTCTGGGGACCATGAATGTCTGTAGCGAAAATCTGCTGGTTTCTTATACTGTAAGCTGCACATAAGAGATAGTTACAGTCAACCGCCGTTAAAGATGTGATTTCTGTGATCAGTGGCTAGCTCACAGTACTTTTAATTTGCAGTCTTACTCTCCATGTTATGCTCATTTGTGCAAAAGAAGTCAGTGTTAAAAATACACTTACTTTCTTTTCCCCCACAAGTCACTTCAACTAATCAATATTTTGAATGAAGGTCATTTTCCTTTGAGAGATTTTAGGAATGCTTGGTTCAGACTACACAGTTTAAGCCTGATAACAGCCCAACATGAAGGCTGTAGGGCAGTGGAACTGACAAACGGCATTGGACGTGATCGTTTTATCTCGTATAGTGTATCATAGTAAATTACAACTGATACTGTGTTTGGGACACTTCATGATGTCCCAGCACAGAGTCTAGCATGTCAGAAGCTTTTTCATGGTCTACGACATGGTGGGCTGGCACTGACCAACAGGAGCACAGATGGCTCTTCTGTTCACAGAATGTTGGACTGAAACATATTCCTTAAATGTCACAGTGATGATATAACATTAGCATAGTGACTTTCACAGTCAGCCCTGTGAAGAAGCTACCCTATCAGGACTAGAAGCTAGTTTTCAGTTATTACTAGTAAAACACAGTTTTAACTGCTACTTCAAGTTCTCCATGAAGAAGAGACACAGGCTGTTGCCCTCTTCATGAGACCCACAGATGGCTCCATGAGCTTTTCTGAACATAGGCACTCAGTATTACACACACACTTCTCCTGGTCCCTGGCACCTCCAAGTCATGAACAATGGCAGGCTGTGGTCTGTCGGGTACCAATGTGTCTGTCATATCCCATATCGAAGACTCTGTCACTGTGTAATCTGACATAATTTGTCTACTTTTAACTACTATAGAACCAACTAGACAAATGCCTTTCCTGAAGAAAATGTGTGTGGATGCTGATTGCTGAAGAATTGCCCTGAAAATGCTGAAATGGCTGAAATCCGTAGCTTGGTGGTTAATGCCACTGACTTTGGTACGACTTCATGCCTTTTTCTGTATTGTGATCTGCCGCTATATAGAAAATAAAATTAACTTCAACTTCAAGGGGAGGGGGGGGGGCAGGACACTAATATTGCCCTAATATTGCTGCAAATAAGATACAAAACACCAACACAGTGACATTCATATATCCCAGGGCCTCCGGTCCTACTGGGAGTGCTGGTGTTAGGGCCCTTCATGTACACCAGAGGCCCTCAACTCCATCACTGGATGGACATGGTCAACACTCCACAGGAGCCGGTGAAGCTGTGGCACAGATTGGGCAGATACATTTAAGAAAC